TCGATTGTGATATCGGTCGAATGAAATAGATCGATTGATACCGATTGTGAGATCGATCGAATGAGATTGATCGAGCGAGACCGATAGTGCGATCGATATTGAGATCGATAGCGAGACAGATCGAGTTAGACGTCGGTTCCTCCCCCCTCCGAACCTCCTTATCACCCGAAGGGTGGTCGTATAGGTATCCGTATATATACACAATATTTGAGGGTTCGCTTCGCTTCGCCTCAATCTTGGTCCTGCGCCCACGCGCAACAGAACACTCGGTGTCTGAATGATTGTTGCAAGCACGTGGTGACCATGAGAGGGGTCGCAATCATCTTCCCGGGCGGGCCACAGGCATTCCTTTATTTGGGAGAAGCCGAACTGTTGCGCCGAGGCCATGGTCACCGATGAGAGGTGAAAAGGAAACTGCGACCACGAGAGGGGGTCGCGGTCATGGCGGTCAAGGAGCAACGCCATGAGCGTCAGCGGGGTGAGCGAATGAAAGAATCAGTTCGAATTTGAATGAAGAGGATGATGATGAGGAGGGGGGCGAGGAGGAGGGCGATGTCGACGCGGTGGGGCGGCTGCGACGATCGTCGGAGAGGGGCAGGGGTCGGTGCGACAAGGGGTCGACGCCAATGACCGGGAGGGGGGTGAAGGGCATTGCCGGCAGATGGGGCGGCGACGGACGCTTTGAGAAGGAATGGGCACGTATGTTGTCTGCGATCATCACCGGCAAGTGGCAGGTCGCTTGCGCGGCGTGACTCCAGGGTGCTTCGGACGGGGCGGGTCCAATCGCAAAAGCAGCTCGGGCCAGACGACGTTGCGCACTAAGGCGTTGCCGTTCTGGTCCAAATTCTCAAAAACGGGGAGAACGCGCATATCGTCGCGGTTCTTGACTCTACTGACGCCCACATAGAGATGCCCATGGGCAAAAGGGCTTCTGCGCACGTCCAGGCGCGCGCATGCGAACGTGCGGCCTTGCCCTCCATTGAAAGTGGACGCGTGCGCAGCCCGCAGAGGATATTTGTCGACGGGCCATGGTGGGCGCGCCGTTGGCAACCTGCCAGCGGAGCACGATGCGAGGTAAAGGATACTCGTGGCCGTCAAAGGTTTCTGGGCAGTGGTACCCACATGTCCCCAGAATGGCTGCGCTGTGCCCCTGACGTCGCGGCGTCGCGGTGCCGACGCTGCACTTAAAGCGGGCGCAAAGTGGATGGCTAGGAGAGGTAAGGCTGGAGCAAGCGCCAGAAGCATCGACGGGCCAGATGGGACACCCGATCAACGCGAGGTGCTGGGGCACTTCCTGGGGCCTACGCGCTGCAGTTATTCGCGCCGCGTGCAGCCGCGGCGACGAGGATCCGATCGAAGCAAGGCGCCGGGACCCCTCGCGGGGTCTACGCGCAACAGTTATTAGCACCGCGTGCAGCCGTGGTGACGAGGATCGGACCGCGAAGTGATCTGCGACGGCGACGCCGAGGAAAACAAAAGTAAAACATATGCTGTCCATCGTCCCGATTTGCGCGCGTGTCCATCTGCGCCGCTGCTCGCCCTGCGTGTTATTATTTTCATCCGCCTCCCCCGCCCCGCGATGTCAAGGAGGGGGGGCGATCTGGGGAGCATTTTGGGGCATTGGGGGGATGACGAAATCTAGGGTTCGTTTGCTTTCCGGACTGTATTGGGGCCCTCTTCGATCTTTAGAGGCCTTGGCCCATCGGCGTCCTTTCGGGGGCCGTCGGCAGGCTTCCTAGGGGCGGGGTCCCTTTCGAGGCCTCTTGGGTTTTTTTCAGGGCGCTTCTTCGGGGCCAGTTGGGCTTCCCTGGGGGGACTCAGGGGGGGCCCCGCAGGGCTTCTTGGGAGTCTTTGAATTGCTTTCGGGGGCAGTCTGGGGCCTTCGGCCCATCCCCCCACCGTGCTTGGGTTGTGGCTCAGAAGCCTCTTGAGTGCTCGAAGGCCTCGTGGGGAGCTTCTGGGCAGCAAGTTGGAGGCCTCGAGTTTTTTTTTTTTTATATATATATAATATTATTATTATTATTATTATTATTATTATTATTATTATTATTATTATTATTGTTATTATTATTTATATATATATATAATATATATAAGTTTCTTCGGCGCCTCTTGGGGCCTTTTGGGGGCCTCTTGGGGCCGTCCTGGGGCCTTGTGGATCCTTCGCAGGGTGGAACATTTACCATTTTGAGGCGTGGTCGCCCTTTTGGGCCCTCTTTGGGTTTTATCAAAGCCTTTTGGGGTTTTGTCGGGCGCCTCTTGGGCTGTCTTCGGGCCCTTCAAAGCTGTTTTTGGGCCGCCGGGGGGGCCTCCTGGGCCGCCCAGGCTGTCTTGGAAAACGGGCCCGGGGGCGAGTGAAGAGCGTCGACAAAGGTATTGGAAGGCGCGGGAAGGGCCATCCGGGGGCCCGGGGCCCAGGGAGGACCGTCAAAAAAGGTATGGGGGGGGCATCCGGGGGGGGTGCTCCTTACATGATGTATAAGTATAGGAATATATTATGAAACAAAAAACGCCAGCGTCCCTAGCGATATTCAAAAACCAAATAAAACACCCAACAAGAAAAAGCATAGTCCATGGTATACGAAATATAATACTGAACTGTAATAGCGGCACGGGATGAACTGTGGGCGCGTTCATCACACAACGCAGGCGTTTCTTGTGTCACCGTTTTGCGACTCTGGCGCCCGCGTCCTCACCAGGTACGGCCACGCACCCTCCCTGCCGGCTCCCATCCGAATCTGGTGCTGGACGAATGTCGCCAATGCTGCGGCGGTGTTCTACTCCAGGCCTGGGCCCGCCCGCGTGGCATCCACCGCGCTGGTCCGTCGGGCCGACGGCGCGCGGTCGCTCACTCGTTCCTCGCCCCGTGCATTCTCTTTCCTCGTGCATGCCCTCGTCCTCCCTCCTCGCCCGCCCCCCCCTCCTCTCCTGTCCGTGGCTGGGTGGGAGGTGTCTGGGGTGGGAAATGGGTGGCGCGCGTGTGGCGCGCGCGCGTACCCTCCCGACCCTTCGCGAAAATTGCGCAGCGTCGACATCCAGGGTCCGAGAGAGAGGACTGAGCGGTTTTACATTCCCCCGCAGTGCGTGGCTGAAGTGGGGGATCCGCCGTGCGCATTCATGCTCTTGCTGGCCCCCTCTCCCGCCCCTTCTCCCTCCTCCGTTCCATCTCTCCCTTGCACCGCTGCCTCTCCCTGCCCCCCTCCACCCCCCGCCCCTGCGGTTCAGTTCCCTCGTCCGTTGCCTCTCCCTTCGCCCCCCCTTCGCCACTCGACCCGCCCTCTGTGTAACAGATAGAACTTGGTGCATGTGTTGCTGGTCTTCCAGTAAACACCGATGGGAGCCGGCAAAGCCACCGGGCCCCACCGGGCCCCACGCCGCAAGGGACTGGCCACGGTGCGCGACGACTGGGACAATGTGTGCTCCGTCGCCAATCTGGAGCTGGAGCCCACGTCGTCGACCAACGTGCCCCACCTCGCTGGGACTGCCCCTAAGAAGCCTTTTTACATGACATCGCAGTATTTGCCTACGGCACTGCAGAACGTGGACAGGGAAAGGGGCTTTGCGTCCTTACCACTCGTCTTCCTGGGGGGCAGGAGGAGGAGGAGGAGGAGGAGGAGGAGGAGGAGGAGGAGGAGGAGGAGGAGGAGGAGGAGGAGGAGGAGGAGAGGAGGAGGAGGAGGAGGAGGAGGAGGGTGAGGAGGAGGAGGGGGAGGAGGCAGGAGGAGGAGGAGGAGGTGCAGGAGGTGCAGGAGGAGGTACAGGAGGATGAGAAGGAGAAGGAGGAGGAGGAGGAGGAGGAGGAGGAGGACCAGTGTAAACCCAAGAGGCATCAACGATGTATGAATAAACCCTCCCTCCAAGCTCCCTGTTCATAGGCCCCTACAACGATTCATTTTCATTGAGGGAACTGCCTCGTTTGAAGACAACCTTTTTGAAGACCCTGCAGCATGCTAAAACATTGCTCTCGGGATTCCAACGCCACAGATTAACCTGACTGTTGCGTGTTGACGATCCAGAATCTTGCCAGGGCGCCATTCTTGGGACTTCAACACATCGAATAAGCGCCAGTGGTGCGCCCGCGTAATCGTGAAACCTTTCACGACACCGATTCTGGCACGTTGATGGTGGGAATCCGTGAAACTCTTGCAAATGTTTAAAGCGAATGCGCGCCGCGCTGAGGCGAGAGCCACATTTTGAAAACGGCCCGCCCTCAATCCGTGAAGCTCTTGCAAATGTTTAAAGCAAATGTGCGCCGCGCTAAGGCGAGAGCCACATATTGAAAACCAACTCTTGCAAATGTTTAAAACGAATATGCGCCGCGCTGAGGGGAGAGCTACAGTGTGAAAACGGCCCGCCCTCAATCCGTGAAGCTCTTGCAAATGTTGAAAACGACCTTGCGCCGCGCTAAAACGACACGCCCTCAATCCGTGAAACTCTTGCAAATGTTTACAACGAATGTGCGCCGCGCAAAGGCTAGAGCCAGATTTTGAAAATGGTTCGCCCTCAATCCGTGAAGCTCTCGCAAATTTGTAAAGCAAATGCGCCGCGCTAAGGCGAGAGCCGCATTTTGAAAACCACCCGCCCTCCATCTGCGAAACTATTGCCAATGTTTAAGCCTCAGAGTCATAAGTGGTGAGGAAGTCTGAGGCGAGACGCCCAGCCCACCCTACAAACTAGCCTCGGGTTGCGACAGGGATATGTTGTTCATAAGGAAAACGAAAGGAGGGAAAGGAATGGAGGAGGACGAGGAGGAGGAGGAGGAGGAGAAGGAGGAGGAGGAGGAGGAGGCGGAGGGGGAGGAGGAGGAGGAGGAGGAGGAGGAGGAGGAGGAGGAGGAGGAGGAGGAGGAGGAGGAGGAGGAGGAGGAGGAGGAGGAGGAGGAAGGAGGAGGAGGAGGAGGAGGAGGAGGAGGAGGGAGGAGGAGGAGGAGGAGGAGGAGGAGGAGGAGGAGGAGGAGGTGGCGCGCGCCCCCTTCCCGGCGGGCTGGGCCCTCCCCCGAGGCGGCCAGCCGAGGCCGTGGCCGCCGGTGACGCTGGGCGGCGCGCCGGCCCTCCGCGCGCGCGCCGGCGACGCGTGTATGAGCTCGTCGGCCGTTCTCGCTCCCCAGCGGCGAGCGAGGGAGGGGAGAGGGAGGAGGGAGGAGAGGAGAGGAGGAGAGAGGAGGGAGGAGGGAGAAGAGGAGGGAGGGAAGGAGGGAGGAGGGAGAAGAGGAGGGAGGGAGAGAGGAGGGAGGGGAGGAGGGAGGAGGGAGAAGAGGAGGGAGGGGAGAGGGACGGGAGGAGGGAGGAGGGAGGAGTGGATGGAGAGGGGGGGGTCAGGCGTGAAGCCGCGGGCCTTCTCTCAGAAGGCTCGGAAGTCCCCCCCGCCCTTCCAGGAGTTTTCGGAGCCCTTCCCCAAAGACACAGGAAAGCTTCTCAGAAGGCGCGAGGGCTGCTGAGATGTCGCTGCCTTCTGAGAAGGCCTCCTCCTCTTCAACCCCCCCGCCCCCTCGCTCGCCGCCGAGCTCTAGACCGGGAGGGCCCGCGCAAGGGTGACTTCTTTAGGCCAGGGTGGCGCTGGTGGTGCGCGACCTTGCGGGGTGTTTCTGCGGGGCCGGGCCCAAGCACGCAGGCCGCTTCCGAGGCCACGGCTAGGAAGCCGCGTGCAAGAAGGTCACTCCGTCCCAGGATCACGCTCACGTGTGCCGAGGAGGGGGAGGAGGAGGAGGAGGAGGCGGAGGAGGAGGAGGAGGAGGAGGAGGAGGAGGAGGAGGAGGAGGAGGAGGAGGAGGATGAAGAAGAGGAGGAGGAGGAGGAGGAGGGGGAGGGGGAGGGGGAGGGGGAGGGGGAGGAGGAGGAGGGCCTTCTTCTCTCGGGGGCCCTCAGGAATCCTGGCGGAGCGGTGGCGGTCGGGGGGTTGTCATGGCCAGGGCCATGAGATCTCCCCCGACTTCGTGGCCCCCCCCTCCTCTGGTTTCGTCCCGTCCTCTGCCCCCTCCCAACCCGCAACCACCCACCCAGGGCTCGCCTCGATTCCTTCGATGCGATCCGATTTCAATGGCTTCCGGTTCCGATTCGATTCGACTTGGGATTCCGATTTGGGTTTCGACTTCTTATTGGAGGCTTACGAGCTTGCCGATTCGACTTTTCCCGATTCGGCTGCGGCTGCCGATTTCCGTCGATCCGATTCAGTTCGATCCCCGATCCGACTTATCGGCTCGATTCTGGGCTCTCCTGCCACCCACCCTCGTCCGCGCACATGCCTCGGGCCATGGTCGGGGGAGCCCCCTCTTGGACACCTGCCTCTTGGAAGCCCACAATCGTCTCGCCCAAGCTTCCCAGCTAGGGTCCGTGGCATGGGAATGCAGGACGGCGCCGCATCGCCGATGCGTCGGCAATGCATCGACGATGCAGGCAGATTCGGAGGCCGAATTCCTTCACGCCGACGTCGCCGATGCATCGGCGATGCGGCGCGAGACTTCGACCCCATCTGTAGACTCGGACCCTACTTGTGAGGCCTTGAGGCTGGTGCCGCCGGCCCTGAACGACGACGACCACGATCACGACGACCACGACCACGACCAAGACGACGGCGACACTGACCACGACGACGACGACCACGACCACGACCACGACCACGACCACGACTCATCTACTCGGACCCTACTTGGGAGGCCTCTATCTCGGGCGGACGGCACTGGGAGGCCATCACCGCAGGAGGTCGAGGCTTGCAGGCAGGCGGCTCCTTCAAGGGCCCCGCAGCTGCCACCGCGGGCCCAAGTGGCGCGCCGTCGGACCGACGAAGGCTCACCGGGGGGGAAGGACGCGTCGCACCTCGACTACGAGGTCTTGCGATGGGAGTGCCCAAGCCGGGGCGACGATGTACTTCCTGGCCTGGCGCTGGAGGCTTGCAAGGGCCTGGGAATCCTCGGACCTCTCCACGCGCACACACCAAGTAGTCCAATTCTCTATCCTCCTTGGTGACTCCCCCAGGCTCCTCACCTCCTTGATCGTCTCCTCATTATACTCCTTGCCCTCCCCCTCCCCACTCGTCGTGTTGAACAGGAAACGCCTTCCCTCTTTGTACCTGGGCACTTGACACCCTTACAACAAAAGCACGCGCTAAGCTCACAGAACTCCTCAGAAGGGCTGGGAACTCCCGAGCCCTCTGAGGTAGGCCCGCCGAGGCCGAGATGGGGGCCCGGCAGTCGACGCGGTCAGGAGTGTCCGCTCCACGTGTCGCCCCGCAGGCTCTGGCCCGTGGCGCTCCGGCGCGCCACGCCGCCGCCTCCCAGTCTCGCGCGCCAGCGGTCAGAGCTTCGCAGTCCGACCGAGGTGCGAGGTCCAAGGGGTCGGTTCGGGGAGGGCGCCTTCGGTATTATTCTTCGTGTTTGTCGCATGCTTTCTGTTGCGTCCTGGGGGGTGCCCTTGGATGCCCTGCCTGTTCTGGCCCCTCCCCCTGTGCGGCCGCCCGCCCCGTCCTGCTTCCCGCTCGTGCATGCTGGCCAGTTCGCTGCAACGGCGCCCCCGTTTAGCCCGCTCGCTGGTGCCGTAACCTCAGCCTCGCCGCCGACGGATCGAAACAAATGTTTCTGTGCATCCTGGGGAGGAAACTCTTGGATGCCGACGGAGGGCCTCGTGTTCTTGAGAGGGGGATGTTCTTCTGGCCCAGGTCTGACTGCAGGCAAGGCGTACCCCGATTCGCCTCCCGCGCGTTGCCCCCCCGCCGACAAAGGGGGGGGGCGAGGCTGACGGTGTCCGGTCGAATCTCGAGGATCGGGGTCGCGAAGGTGTCTGGACGTGTCCGTGCCTCTCCCGGGGCCTCCCGGAGGCGCCGCCGCCGCCCGCCCCCGACGGGGGCGGGGCGGGAGGAGGGCCGGCGGGCGCAGGAGGCCACAAGAGCTTCTTGGGGACAGTGCTCGCAGTGAGGGGCGGTGGTCGTGCTCTACAGGCGGCCCGGATATGAGCAGGTCGACCCCGCCAGATCGAGGGTGCCCTCGTGTCCTGCGTCTTGCGGCCCTCCTGCAGTTCTGTGGCAACGTGGCCCTCGGAAGGGTCTTGTGTCCTCTCGCGTGTCCTCTCCGAGCAAGTCCGACTGTATGCAGGGTTTTGCCGATCGGCGCGGGCCCTCGCACCCCCCCCCATGGAGGATCGGAGGTTGACAGACCTCCTATCCTGACACGTCGATGAGCGAATTGGCCGTTTCCGGTTCGCGAGAGGGCGTCGCAGCCGTCATGTTTGCGGGTCCAGGTCCGTCGGTTTCCGCCCCAGGCCTTTTTCGCTAAAGGGTGGTCTACTGAAGGGATGGTTGTCCACCGCCGAGAGTAGATCTTGGTTGTTATTGGCGCTTGTTTCGAGCAGGTGGAGCCTCTCCCTTCCTTCGTAGGCACCGTTGCAAGCAGTCGCACTGAGCAGAGGTCCTGAGCCAGACCCCCCCGTTTCCCCCCCTTCCGCCCAATGTCTAAACGCCGATTCAGAAAACGAGCACGTGCTTGATTGTCGACCACAAATCAGACATGGTGGTAGGTGCTGGTGCTCCATGGCTGGTACCCTATACTGGCTTTGAGGATTACATGCTGTATGGGTGGCGTTCGGTGGTCAGTGCCGTATGATGTTTGCATAATGGTTGCGATGTTCGCGTTCTTGTTCTGGTTCTCGATGGGCTGTGCTCTGTGGTCGATGCTCTCCATGATGCCTTCGGTGGTTGTGGACATCGCGCTCTTGCCCCTGTGCTGTAGGAGTGAGGCCATCTGGCTGGGGGTGGTGTTCTGTGGGCAGTGCTCAACGGTGGGGCGCCGGCTACCATTCCGCGTTCTTGCCCCGGGGAGGTCTCGGAGGGCACAGAGCACACAACAGCGATCTAGAGCCAACCCGCATAGTAAGGATGGGCAACCTTCCCAAGGATACCCTTGCATCCTTGCCTCCTCGGCCCATCCTTGGCCACTTCCGTTGGCCACGCCCCGCTCGAGAAACTTCGAAGTGGCCTTCCAAGGCCCTTGCATCCTTATCGCGCATCCTTGCTATACGGGTTGACTGTACCGCCCAGAGATCCGGGGCCCTCCTCGCAGGGCCTCCGGGAGCATCAACAAAACGACTCGGGACGAAACTGTTGGCCCTGGGGAAGTGGTCTGGACGGTGCATCGGCGCACATCGGCGCCTGCCTGTCTGTCTGTCTGTCTGAAATGGTCTGGACCTCCAGGTCCCACGCGCCGAAAGAATCATAGCCGCCAGATGCTTTAGCAGCCACATCGGTCCGCGAACTAGTTGACTTCGGGCCTCCTCCTCCTCTCGGGTCCTCAATCACGTCCCGCCTGCAGCCGTCGATTGGCTCGACGCCCGATCTTGCCCCGATCCCCGATCCCCGATCCTGACCCGCCGCATCCTCGATCCTCGATCTACGGTCCCCTGAGATCTGGGCATCGAAACTGCTCCGCGCAGGTCGTGTTCGCCCAGCTTCTGGCCCTGGGGACCCCTCACCGAGCGATCCGACCGAAGAGAAGTGCAGCAGGAGGATGGAGTGGAGGGCTCCCGTCGTCGTGATGATCACGGCGTCGCAGGTGTTTTCGACGTCCCCGATCTCCGATCTCCGATCTAGCCTCGCTGCGTCTTGAATCGTGGCCCGATCCTCGATCGTTGATCCTCCACCAGTTGCGACTTGATCCCCGATCGTCGATGCCCCCTGATCCTCGCTGAGACAGGTGGCGTCAGGTCGCATTACGACCAGGTCTGGCTGCGCTTGTCACGACCGTCTTGAAAAGCACAGCCAGAGCCCCAAGCGGCATCGCCGCAGCCGGGCGGTGTACGAGACCCAGGCATCCGATGTTTCGATGTTTCGAGACACGGGCCCCCGACCTCCCGACCACTTCCCCGGGACCGGTTTTTCATCCCGAGTCGTTTTTTGACGGTCCCGAGGCCCGGCGAGGGCCCCGAGAGGCCGAAAACGACGAAAAATGTCCGTCTCGATTGTTTCGAGACGCCCGATGTCTGTGGACCTTCCCCCCCACGGCTGGGCGGCTCACCCAGGCCTCGACCCGATTTTCGCCTGCCGTCAAATGCGCCCGGCGGAGCCGCCCACATGCCACCAGGCATCCGTGGCCGCTCCCAATGTTGCTCGATACGTGGGCCCCAGCTCCTCCTCCTCCTCCTCCCCCTCCTCCTCCAGAGGGGGGTAGACCTGGCACCTGTTCTCCTGGTGTCAGCGCCACACACTCCTCGGGGCACATTGTCAGTGTCAATTGCATGCGGCGGCTGGGGGCAGATAAACCGGCTTTCGTCGTTCTTGCACCAGCCACGTGGCACTTTGCCCGTGGCAGCGGCGCGCTAGCTGCGCCCGTGACCTGGAGATGGGTACCAGGCACGGGGAGTGTGCATTTGGTTGAGCGGCGGGGCCATGTGGTCCGTAAGTCCCTTGGGACCTTTGTCCGCTCACCCTGGGGTACAAACCCAGTTGCACATGCCATCCGATTCGGCAAGGGTGACGGTCAGGAAGTACTGCGCGGTGACGCGGTGATCCGGCTGTCCCCCATACGCACCACGCCGTCTCGGTTGGGCAGCGAGTCGCT